CTTTCCCTCCCAACAGATCTCCTTGCTGGGATCCGTCAAGGCACCGGTCTTTTAGCGATGGCTGTTTTTAGATTGAGTTTTAGATATATTTTAATTATCGATTGTTAATACGGTGCAATTTTGCGATGGAATGTCCCCTAAGCCCGCTTGCAGGGAGGGCGGCACACAAATCGAATGAGGCAAAATAAATAAAGGGCCTTGACACACACACACACACACACAGCCCCCCACCCACCCACACGACTCCTCCAGCAGAAGGACGTACCCCCCGGTCCAACTCGGTAGGCTCCCCCCCACACACACACACACAATTCTCCCCGAGAACCCAGGCGTCCGGGCCGCCTTTCCTTACCACTGATCCGGGGATGCCTCTCAGCCCGTCCGTTCCAGGTTTCCCAGGCGTCCCCTGCGGCCCGACCGGCCCCGTCTTCCCTGAAGGTCCCAGGGCACCCGGTTCTCCCTGGGGAAGGGCAGAGTTAAGGTGAGCGGTGGGTCTACTTTCTCTCTCTCACACACACAGACATATCGAGGTGGGGTCAGCCGTGTTGGTGTGAAGCAACAGAACAAAGTTAGATTTCAATGGCGCCTTCAAGACCAACCCACTCCCTGTTCACACGGAGGATTTGCCACGGTAAAGGCACGAATGGCAGGCGGATTATCGGTGCACCATCACACACCGCAACATCTGGGAAGCGTAGCAGACCCGTGGGCAATCCGTGGCACCCCGCCGAAGATGCGAGATCCTTACCTTGGCCCCTTTCTCCCCCTGGCGCCCCTCCGGACCTGGCGTGCCAGCAGGACCCTGTGGAGAGACGAGAGGAGAGATAGGGGGGTCGGGGGGGGGACAGACAGCAGCGAATGGCACCCCTCAAAACCCTGGAGAGTTGGCCCCTGGTAAAGTCTTCCCGCTCTCCGGGCGTGTGTGGCCTGTGTGACTCCATCACTGCTACAGGTAGGTAGGCAGGTATCGTTTTATTGTATATGGCCGTCAGCCTTCACAAAATCAAAACACTCTCAGAGAATACATAGATTAACATATGATAGAATGTTCCAGCCTCTATTAAAACATATAAAACACCTGTTAGAATGATCTCGACCTCTGGTCTTTAAAGCCGACAAGACCTTTCAGAATCACTTGCTTGGTTGCGATGGCACTATTTGACTTCTTTGCTCTGATTTTTCTCGCAGCCGAGGCAAAGAGAGTCAGTCTTGGAGAAATGAAGGGGGGTCCCTCATCTGAGAGCCAAAAGGCCATCTTTTCATAATCAGACATGGGGTATAGGGCTGACAACGTCTTTGCTAAAAATTTGGCCCTGGGTTCTACGTATAACGGACAGGCCAGAATGTACTCGGGAAGAAGAAGAAGGAGGAAGAGAAGAAGAAGACATTGGATTTATACCTTGCCCTTCACTACCCAAGGGAGTCTCAGAGCGGCTTACAAACTCCTGTGAGGTAGGCGGGGCTGAAGAGAGCTCTGACAGAAACTGCTCTTTTCCAAGGACAGCTCTTGTCAGAACTACGGCTTGCCCAAGGTCATCCAGCAGGTGCAAGTGGAGGAGTGGGGAATCAAACCTGGTTCTCCCAGATTAGAGTCCGCACACTTAACCACTCTGCTGTGGCTCAAGTGGTTAAGACGCTGAACTGCAGGCTGTGGAAGGTCGGTAGTTCAGCAGTTCGAGACCCGGGTGCCGCAAGACGGAGTGAGCTCCCGTCTCTAGTTCCAGCTCCTGCCAACCTAGCAGTTCGAAAGCAAGAAATTGCAAGTAGATAA